TATACTAGTAGATATAGATAATAGAGATAGCTAGATATCTAGAAGATATAGATATAGATATAGATATAGATATAGATATAGATATAGATATAGATATAGATATAGATATAGATACAGATATACTAGTAGATATAGATATACATGTAGATATAGATACAGATGTCTGATATTTCCCTTAGGGAAGTTCCCAGGAGTCACGTTGCTGTGTTAAAGGGTGGACACAGCTGAACGTTGATAGAGTCTGCCAAACGCCCTCCAGAGGGGAGTCCAAATTACATACACTCGCCCCAGAAAGGGACCAGAGTGCCCTTCATCTACACCCTCCTGGAGGTTTCATTCCCTTCTTTGCTGACCTGACAGGTCAGGAATGATACTGTGTGGCTGTCTGATACGGACCTTCCATTTCAGATGAGGTTGAGACTGAGCACCTTGTCTCATATGTTTTGAAACATTTACGTTTTTCCTTTGGTGAGTGGCCTCTGCATGTCCGTCTAATGTAGAGGTGCCAGGTCCCTAGGCTCACAAAACACCCTGGTCTTTATTCCCCTACCAAAAACTTTATTGAAAAAGAAAAAGGGGAAAAAAAAAGTAAAATACACAAAACAGCTGGAGGGGTCCAAGGCTGTGCTATGGAGTTTGTATTTCTAAGGTCCGGGGAGTTGATACGGCAGAATGAAGCTGCGAAAAATTCAGAGAAGATATTAAATGTATCACTTCAAGTTCTTTTGGTAAAGTCATACTGCTCCCTTCTGGGTGGATCAAAAAAATATATTCCATTTTTACTCGGTAGGAGGGATTAAGCAAAAAAGAAAACAAAAACAGAACTCAGGGCATGAACGGCAGTGTGGTGATGCGGGGGGGAGATGGAAGAGGGCACAGAGGTGATACATGGTGATGGAAAAAATAAAAGATTCTATTTTTAAAAGAAATAGTGCACATTTCTAGTTATAAATAAGTCATGAGGATGTAATATACAGCATGGCGACTATAGTTAATAATGCTGTATTACATATTTGAAAGTTCTCATCGCAAGAAAACAATGTGTAACTCTGTGTGGAGATGGATACTGACTAGACTTACGGTCTGACCATTCTGAGACACAGACACACAGGAACAGATAGTGAGCTCACTGGGGATCATTTGTCTTGTGTTTTTAGAGTGCCCTCATCATACAATGTTGATATGGCTTCTTTTTTCTCACTTGGAACCTCAGAGGCCACCATCACCTAATCAATGCCCGGCATCTAAAATGCAGCTTTAATGTTTTTTTTT